CTAAAAAAAAAAAAAAAAAAAAAAAAAGAAGAAGAAGAAAGAAAGAAACTGGGTCCGAAATCAGCTGGAACCAAGATGGCATCTGGGACAACTGCTGCCTAATTTTCAGACTCATCATACCCTCATTGTCATGAGCATGCTAAATGACACTCCTTCCTGTGCCATGACAGTTTGGAATGGCAATGACCAGAGCTACCCTAATAAGGTCTGAAAATGGGAGAGACAGTGGTTTCAGGAAAAGCACTACCCCTTTCCTTGAAAAAGTCTTGAATAAACCACCCCTTACTTAGCCTAGCAGTAAGCCAAGCCCTGTAAGCCAGACACCCATTGCAGTTCGGGACTGCTTTGCCAATGGGGTAGCCCTTCTATCTTTCCTCTCAGGTAACAGTCCTCCCCTTCCTCTCAGATGAAGGAATGGAACTTGTCATCTCCTCTCAGGGGGCTGCTCTATCTTTGCAGCAGTCCGCTCTGTACACTTCCCTTACTAAACCTGCTTTAACTCTCCCGTAAAGGCTTGCTCTTGAATTCTTTCTTGTGCAAAGTCAATGACCCTCACACCCTGAGTAGAGAGCCCCATCCGTTGAGTCTCCCTGCTAACACTAGTCCACCATCTTCTCAGCTAGGTGGATTCCTGAAAAAAGTCACCGTCGTGTTCCCAATACCTTATCTCTCTTCTGAGCACCTTATGATGAGCGGGCGAGCTGGACTTTGTTACAATTGTCAATCAAAGTTACATGAAAATATAAATGCAAATGTTTGAGGACAGGCTGGAAAACCACGTTCCAAAAGTGCTTATGAAGGAGAGTGGAAGGGACCTAAGCAAAGTGTGCACAGGTAGCCCTGCTACCTGGGGAGCTGGAGGCTATGTGGGAGGCCTGGGTTCAATTCCAGGGCCAACTCGAAAACACAAGGTGGGGTAGGAAGATCTTAACACAGCAAGATCCTATTGAAAATGCTTCTCTGTCTCTCTCCCTTTCCTTCTCTCTTTCCCATAAAGGGGGGAGGGGTGGGGATGTGAGGTGGGAGAGGAGAGTCTAAGTTTCTAATATTTCCAAGTTCCAAGATCCGGCTTTTTCGATTCAGACTCAGGCTCCCCTCCATCTGGAGTCTACTCCAGTGAGCCGCCTCCTCCCTGTGCCCCGAGAGTGTTTATTCTCCGGCGGGCGCTCACACATGTTCTGAACATAACCCAGAAAGCAATTTACAAGAAATAATTGCTGGTCGATGTGTTCTCCAGAGGTGAGCTCAGATGATTTCTGTCTGCCCCGTCAGCCACCTAGCTTCCCCGTTCCTGGGCCACCCTGGGGGAGGGGACCCTGCTGCTCTGGGCTGGCAGTTTGTTTCTAAGGAAGGACTCAGACGGGCTAACCTCAGTGAGAGCCAGCTCTGAGGACTGATGGATTCCAGTGACAGAGGCTGAACTTCGGGGCTGGCGAGGAGCTTTATGAGGCCTGGGACAGGCCTGGGATGGGTAGGTTCTGCTCTCCACCCAGCTCTACCCATGTGTGCAGGCTCCTGCTGGGGACATTCCAGCTCAGTGTGAGGTCTCCTCACCACTCAGCTCTGAGTCCTCAAAGCTTGCCTGGATGCTTTAGGGCCAGCGTGCTCAGCAGCATCAGCATCACCTGGAACTCGTTAGACATGCAAATTCTGGGGACTTAGTTCAAACCCACAGCATCAGACCCTCAGGGTGGTGGGGGGAAGGGGGCAGGATGCTGTGTTTTAAGAAGCCCTCTCAGCGATTCTGATGCAGCCGGAAGAACCACTGTCCTAAGCCACTGATGACCACTTGAGTTTCTGAATTTCCGGATCATCTCTCCTGCTGTTAGCAGCTTAAAGGTGAGGGCATTATTGGATTCTTTCCTAAAACCTGCCCAGAAGGACCAGCACAAAGTGTTCTGAGAAAAATTGAATTTTGCTGATGGGAATAGCAAAGACGGAGATCTGTCCTGTGAAAGATCACACTGACTATTGCCCACTCCCACAACACACAAACACACACACACACACGTACAACAAATTGCTTGCAGCTTCTGACCTGTGCTAGATGCTCTCCCTGCATTAGAACAGGTTGTACTCTGACCATATTATCTTCCAACCCTGTCTCACCTAGAAACTGACTCATCATCCATGATTCAGCTCAGACATCGCCCTTTCCTCTAGCTGCGTGAAGAGCCACGAAGAGGCCCACTGCCTTTGTATGTGTCTACCTTGCCCTCCACATAGCCCCCTTGAAGGCAGGAGCCATGTCTGATTCCTCTGTTTCTGGCCACCTGCAGAGGTGCCTGCATAGGACAGACATCGCCCAGTATACAGTAAGTGGGCGAAGGTGCTGGGTTTAGAGACCTGAAAATAAAAGACCACACACAAAAAAAATAAATGACGCAAGACCAGAACTAAGGTCTCCTGAGTGCCAGGCTAGGTTATTTCTGTGGGTGCTTCACCTGCCTTGCCCCTGCATCATGTGCCCTTGGCTGGCTCAGACCCCGCCCACAGATGCCTAAGAGTGACCACTTCATCGTTGCCAAATCCAGCCTCAGGTCATGTCACTGCCTGAAATGTCAAGAGCTGCTTTCAGTGGCTACTGCGTCTCTCCCATCCTTGTCTTGCAGTCCCAAGGCAAAGCCTAAAAGCATTGCCGAAGTCAGGAGAGCAGCCAGGAGAGAGGAGTGGCAGTCAGTGGTCTTCCCTAAGAGTCCTTCACTATTAGTTTAGTAATAAAATTGTTAAAAACAATAATAGCTAACACATAATACCTTCCATTTCTGTTTACTAACATTATTCTTTTTTCAAATTATTTATTTATTATTATTATGTTTTAATTTGATTGGAGAGAGACACAGAGAGAGAGAGAGAGAGAGAGAGGAAAAACGAGAAAGCAAGCCGCCAGGTCCAGGCCTTGAACCGTGATTGGCCATTTGGGAGTCCAGTGCCTCAACCACCACACCACCTGCTGGCCCCTCCTAACACTAGTCTAAACACTTGGATGGGCTAAGTAATTTACTTCTCCCCAAAGCCCTATGAGAGGGAGGCAGAGAGGCGCTACTATTATCCTTCCTTATACAGATGAGAGAACTAAGGCACAGGGGGTACCTAATTAGGAAGTGTCAGGGACCAGAGTTTAACCAGGAATTTGGCTCCAGAGTCCATGCTCTCAAGGACTATGCTATACTAAAAAAAAAGAAAATCCATCTTTAACTTAAAATCTTTTAGCACTTTAACATTTATGAAGAGAATTCAAGTCCATCGCCTCACTGAACACTTGGAATAACCCAACAAGGGAATTGAGCCCACAGAGGCTAAGGGATTTTTATCCAGGCCGCATGGGGTTAGGAAGTGACTGAGTCCACCCTCTGGGGCAGTTTTCAGTCTGCTAATCATTGGCTCATTCACTCATCCATTCACTTCCATTCACTCTCTCATCCACCTGAGAACCTGAATCATGGCAGGGCCCTGTGCACACCACATTCCCTCTCATTCTGTTCCTTGGTGAGGGGTTTACTCCAGGGTGGGGTAGAGCTATTGGAGAGGCAGGAATCGCTCCCTTCTGAGTGCTGGCCATCCTCCCAAGGGCTCCTACATACTCTGGGGCAGGGAAACCAAGTCAGAGTTCTCTGACTCCTGGTTAGATGCGGGCTCCCCTGAGCTTCCAGGAGCCCCAGGCTTCTCCTTGACTGCAAGAAGTTGATACTTATCAGGCCAGCCAGGTGGTGTGGTGATTAAGGAGGCTGGATCCCACATGACTGACTGCTCAGTTCAAGTCCCTGACCCAGAGGCTTGAAAAACACACCAGGTGCATGTGCATATGTGCCCAAAATCCTGAGAGAAGAATAGAGAAGAGATTGTGGCGTGACCATATCCACTGGAGGGTGCTTTCTCACTTTCCCTCTTTCTCTCTATCTCTCTCCAATGAGTGCACACACTCTAATATTTATATATATATAAATTTATTTTTTTATAATGGTGATACTGATCATTTCTCCAGTGACTCACTCATGAGTAGCTTCCTTTGGTCCACAAGGGACCAGACAGAGGAGTATAGCTGGGTCCACAGCAGGACCTGAGTGAGGGTCTTTGCTGAGAAAAGCCCTCATTTATCCTGCTAGATTCCAAGGTCCCTTTGACCATTCCCATCCCCACCTTTCACCAAAAAGAGACTCTGAAGCGCATAATGTAGAGACGTTTATTGGATATTCATGGGACTGGTCCACATGAGTCAGGGTTGGAGACTGGGGTCTCCTCAGGGCTGCCAGGGATGTTACTGGCAGTCACTGCGGCCATGAAGTGGGGTTGGAGAAGGTGTTCCGCATCCACAGTCTGTCCCTCATTGCTTTCCAGCCGTGGATTCAAGAAAGGGTAACTCTGTCCCAAATGGCTCGCTCCTGGCAACTCCACTGCAAAACCTGTGTTCGCACATTGGCAGTCAGCGGGCACCTCCTCGGGCCCTGGAAAATAGCAAGCCAAGAGTGTGAGACTTCCTTCAGCAGCCCCTTCTGCCCATCAGGATCACTCCACTCCACCCCACCTTTGGCTAACTTATTTATTGCTTGCTTTGGGCACGTGCATTGTGCTCAGAATCTTAGATGCATCTTAACAAATATTTATGAACAATGTGCCATGCCATGCCCTAAGAGCTGTTTTTTTGTTTGTTTGTTTGTTTGTTTTTGGAGAAGTTTTTGCTATAGGGCGTGTGCCCTCACCAGAAAGACAGAGACGCTGTGTTTGACTACCTGGGAGTCCAGTGACATAGCCATTATGCCAACTGCTGGTCCCATGCCCTAAGAGCTGTTGATGTTTCTCATGAATACACAGTTTAGTGGGGGAGACAGACGATAAACAATTGTTAGGAGATGTGAAGACCCAACATTCACCATACACCTTTGAGGTATGTGTTATTAAACATTTATTTTATAGGAGCCAGCAGGTGGCATGGTAGTTATAGTGTTGAACTCCCACATGGCTGGCTGTGCAGTTAGAGTCGTGGACTCAGTAGCTTGGAAATTGTGCCAGGCACATGTGTGTGGGTCCCTAAAATCCCCAAGAGGAGAATGGGGGAGAAGGGATTGTGGCATGGCCATCCCCCAAGGGGCTAATAACTCACTCTTCTTCTCTCTGTCTCTCCAGTGAATGTATATGCCCTATGGCAAAACCCTAAAAAAAAAAAAAAAACCCAAAAAACAAAAAATGTATAGATGAGAACACAGGCTTGTCGCATAGCTACTTCAAGGAATGCTAGATATTTCTTTCTTTTTTTTTTGGAGAGGTTTTCGCTATAGGGCGCGTGCGCTCGCCAGACAGACAGACAGAGAGAGACATAGAGACAGAAAGCGAGAAATCACCCCCCAGGGGGGATGGTCACGCTGCAATCCCTTCTCCATTCTCCTCTCGGGATCTTGGGCACGCACGCACACGCGCCCGGCGTGAGTTTTAAGCCACCAGGTCCGGGATGCAAACCCGGGTCGACTATGTGGGCGTCCAGCAACATAGCCATTACACTAACTGTTGGTTCCCAAGGAATGCTAGATATTTCTTAAGCATAGAATTCTTTAAGAATAGATTCTGATCCCCTCCCCCACCCTTAGTGGTTAAGGGAGCTGAATCCCACATGGCAAACCAGTTTGAATCCCAGTCCTCGCTGTAATGCGTGCATGTATGTGTGCACACCCAAAATCCTGACAAGATGAAGAAATGGAGGAAAAGGATTGTGTTGTGACCATACCCCATCTTTGTTTCTTCATCTCTCTCTGGTGAGCACATTTAAATTTTAAAATTTAAATGCCCTCTGGCAATTAAAGTTTAAAAATATAATTGATTCCACAATTCTCGTTGTCTTATCCTCTCTTCCTCTTTTACCTGAGCTTGAAAGGAAGCCCATTTGTCCTCATTATTCCCCAGTTTCATATCTGACTTTTTCTGCTACATCCTCCTTGGCTTCTTCCACCCCCCCACCATAACTTAAAACGTTTTGCCATTAAATCCCATAGTTGCTGTTAAATCCTCATCTCCCTTGATTTAGGAGGAACATTTGACACTTCCTGCCCTTTTTGGACAAAATATTGTAGCAAGCGTTTAAGCCAGAAATTCAAGTACTCTTTCACACCTCTCCCAGTCCCTTCACAAAGACAAGTAATTCCCCAGGTCCCGAGGATTCCATCTAATCACCCTCTGCCACAGCTCTCCATTCTCACGGCCACTATCCTAGGTCAAGCTTTTGTCTACATCTGCCCAGACCAACCGCACCGGTCTCCAGTTAGGCTCCTTCCAGTCCATCCTTCCTGCCGTAGCCTGAAAGATCTTTCTAAAGTGAACCCATTACTATTCTTTCTCAAAGACTCCTGTGTCTTCAGATTCCCTGTGACCCTAGAGGTGGCACTCAAGACTCTTCATAGACTGGTCCACCTCTTCTCTTCGGCTTCACTACTACCACTCCCCCCCTCCCCAAGAATTCTATGCTTTGCCACCGAAATTCTCATTGTTCCCTAATGGATCCATTCCTTCCTATCTCGGGCCTTTGCTAGTGCTATTTCTTCTACCTGAAATGTCACTTGATACCATCTCTCCCTAGCAAACTCCTAGACTTTAAGTCACATTGACAGAAGATGTCCAGGAATTTGGCACTTCTGAAACCAAGAGAAGGGTGAGTTTCAAGAAGGAAGTTGTAGACATTGGAATTGGCTACCCAACATCCATTCTACACCTCCCACCTGGGTAATAGGAATTATCTTTGGGTGCATTTGGTCTCAACCCAGTTCTTTTTTTTGGAGGGGGGGGCGACGGGGTTTGCTATAGGACACGTGTGCTCGCCAGAAGGACAGAGAGAGACAGAAAGACAGAAAGCGAGAAATTGCCCCCCAGCGAGGATGGCCACGCTGCAATCCCTTCTCCTCCATTCTCCTCTTGGGATCTTGGGCACGCACGCACACGCACCCAGTCAACCCAGTTCTAGAAGTAAGACCTGACTGAGCTGAGTCAACAAGATAATCCCATTTCTTTATCACATGGATGAGCAATCAATACATCACATTTCCCCAGGCACAGTGATTGAATTAGGGGTGGGCATTTGACCAAAGGTGGTCCAATCAGTGCAGAATTCAAGCCTTTTTTTTTTTTTTTTTTAATCCTTAGATGAAGGAAGAGACAGCACTCTCCTTCTCCTGGCTGAATGGTAACAAAAATCATCTAGTCCCAGAGGCCCTGGCTTACTTCATAAGAAAAGTCAGCCTGAGGGATCAACAGGTAGCATAATGGTTACATCTCTGAACTTCCACGTAAGTCAACTGTGGCTCAAGTCCCAGACTCAGCAGCTTAAAACTCATGCCTGGCACGTGCATGTGCATGCCCAAAATCCCGAGAGGAGACTGGAGGAGAAGAAATTGCAGCGTGACCATTCCTCCTGGGGGGTGACTTTTTGCTTTCTGTCTCTCAATCTCTTTCTGTTTCTCCGGCAAGCGCATGTGCCCTATAGCAAAAAATCTCTCAAAAAAGAAAGAAAGAAAGAGAGAGAGAGAGAAAGAGAGAGAGAGAGAGAGAGAGAGAGAGAAAGAAAGAAAGAAAGAAAGAAAGAAAGAAAGAAAGAAAGAAAGAAAGAAAGAAAGAAAGAAAGGAAGAAAGAAAAGTCAGCCTGAGGAGAAAGCCAGCACAGGGTAGAGGGCAGAGCTGAGAGAATCTCAGAAAATGGAGCCACAAGCCTGAGGACAGTGTGAACTATCTCCCTCTTTTAACTTGCTTTAGGGCACATGTGCTCATTGGAGAGACAGAGACAGAGAGAGAGTGTACTATGGCAAATTGATTGAGAAAGCACCCCAACCTGGGGGGTTAGCCATGCGGCAATCCCTTCTCCATTCTCCTCTCAGAATTTTGGGTGCATACACATGTGCTTGGTGTGCTTTCTAAGCCAAAGGATACGGGACTTGAATCATGCTGTGAGTCATGCGGGATTCAGCCACCTTAACCACTACGCCACTGGTTGACCCAATAGTGTAAACTTCTATACAAACTGTGCCTAAAACCAATACAACATTTTTATACTTCTCACCCACAGAGTCAGTAAATTTCCTTTGTTTTGTTTTAAACTTTATGTTTTTAAATAATTTATGACTCACAAGAAGTTACAAAAATAGTACAGAGAGTTCCAGTGTACCCTTCACCTAGTTTTTCCCAGTGATAACATCTTACATACCCATGGTACATTTTTTTTTCAAGAATTACTTTATTTATTTAACTTTATTAATTATTATTATTATTTTAAATGTGAAAATAAGAAAGCAAGCTGCCAACTCTCGGACTTGAACCATGGTGGACCATGTGGGTGTCCAGTGCCTTAACCACTACACAACCTGCCAGCCTAACCATGGTACATTTTCAAAACTAGGAGTTGATGTTAGGACTAGCAGGTGGTGTGGTGGTTAAGCTGCTGGATTCCCATATGGCCAACTGCAGTTTGAGTCTTGAACCTGGTGGCTTGAGAATCATGCCAGGCACGTGTACGTGCATGCCCAAAATCCCGAGAGGATAATGGAGGAGAGGAATTGTGGTGTGGCCAATGTTAATACAATGGGATCAACTAATTTATAGTTTGCATTTGATTTTACCAGTTTTGCATTTTTTAGAATATAATAGTATGAAATTATATTGAATGTATAATTTTTTTTTAAAGAGATTTTTGCTATAGAGGGCACGCACTTGCTGGAAAGACAGACAGAGAGACTGAAAGAGAGAAATCACCCCCTAGGGGGGTGGTCACGCCACAGTCTCTTGTCTTCCACTCTCCTCGTGGGATTTTGGGCATGGATGCACATATGCCTGGCATGTTTTAAGCCGCTGGATCTGGGACTTAAACTGGAGTCAGCAATGTGGAAGTCCAGTGATGCAGCCATCAGCCATCTGCTGGTTCCTACGTATAGATTTTTTAAAAAAAGAATTATTTTATTTAACTTTTATTTATCATTGTTATTTTTCTCATTTGACCATAGAAAGACACAGAGAGAAAGCGAGAAAGCAAACTTCCAGGTCTGGGACCCGAACTGTGGTTGGCCATGTGGGAGTCCAGCATGTATAGATTTTTAAAAAAATTATTTGTGATTGGGTCAGTAGGTGGTATGGAGGTTAAAGCACTGGATCTCACAAGGCTGGCTGTGCAGTTTGAGTCCCAAAACCAGTGGCTTGAAAATCACACCAGGCATGTGTACGTGCATGCCCAAAATCCCAAGGGGAAACTAGAGGAGAAGGGATTGTGGTGTGGCCATGCCCCTAGGGATGATTTCTCACTTTGTCTCTCTCTCTCTCTGTCTATCTCTGGTGAGCACATATGCCCTATTAGCAAAGAATTAAGAAAAATAAAAAATTAAAATAATTAATTCGATTCATGATAGAGCACAGGCATGTGAGTGTAAAAGAGACAGAAGCGTATCCTCCATAGAGTCGGGGCATACCATAATTCCCTTTG